TATGTGTATACACTTACAATGACAATAAATTATTATTATTATTATTATTATCCTTCTGAGGTAACTTGCAAGAGGTGAGGGAATCCAAGGGCGCTTTTATATTTGCTAAAGTTGGTTCGCTGTCCAACTCTTCCAAGACAGACAAGCACTCAATGTTATTAATAAAGGTGACTGGCAAGCTTACTTAAGGAAGAAGGAAAATACCCACCCAAATGCTAGATAAGCCAATGCATGAGTCAGGTGGCCACAGATCCAGAACTGGAACACACCAGAAGAAAACTGCAATGGCCACATATGTTCACGTGGTATGGATCCTAAGACCAGTTGGAACAAGGCAATGTCAGTCATCTTGAACACACACTTTGTAAAGTGCTGCGGAAAGATCAGCGGACCTCCTCTTTGAGTTTATATAGCAAAGAAATGTAAATGGTCAATGTCCAATGTGTACAGAGATTTCTCAAGTTCAACTGCAGATGCTATAAAAAATGTGGGGAGAACAGTGACCTGCATTTGTTAAAATGGGAAAGCATTCTTAAACAAAAAAGATCACACAGGGAACAACTTTGTCTCTGTGGAAAACAAGATTTAAGAATATAGGATTCACCAGTTTACCTTGTGGAAGTGGCAGCCACCAAGAAGACACAAGATCCAAGCTGCAGGAGACCTAGCTCCAAAACTCTATGCATCAGCTGACTGAATACTATTTCTTATGGATCTGTGGCGTTAGCACTGAAGTAATTGGAGGGTAACTGTTACTGAGTCTTCTAAAATGTTTTCACAGTTGAGTTTCTAAAGAGTGAAGACTGGGGATCCTATTGAGCCACTGGGGCTGCCAGGTAACTTTTGAAGAGAAGACAGAAAGAAGTTTTCATTCTTCAAGTACACAAAAATCCAAAGATCATTCAGAACCAATACCAATGCTGGCAAAATGTGTAGAGAGTAGCAAATTCAATGAATCACTTCCACTTTTGAGCATAGATAGATCCTCTAGGCAATGAGACAAAATGAGGAGGTGTCAATGCAAGCTGTGTGTCCACAGGTTTGTGTGAGAATCATAGGATCATAGAAAACTGGAGTTGGAAGGGGCCTACAAGGCCATCAAGTCCAACCCCCTGCTCAGTTCAGAAATACAACCGAAGCATATCTACCAGGTGATTATCTAAGCTTTTCTTGAGTGCCTCCAGTGGGGGAGCACTCACCAACTCCCGAGGATAACTGGTTCCACTGTCGTACTGCTCTAATGGTTAGGAGGTTTTTCCTGATATTCATCCGAAATCTGGATTCTTTTAACTTCAGCCCATTGTTGCATGCCCTGCACTCTGGGATGATCGAGAACAGATCCTGCCCCTCCTCTGTATGACAGCCTTTCAAATATTTGAAAAGTCTTATCATATCATCCTTCAGTCTTCTTTTCTCAAAGCTAAACATGCCCAATTATTTCAGTCTTTCCTCATGAGGCTTGGTTTCTTGTCCTCTAATCATCCTTGTTGCCCTCCTCTGAACTTGTTCCAATTTGTCAGCATCCTTCTTGAAGTGTGGTGTCCATGATTAGACACAATCCTCAAGGTGAGGCCTGACCAGTGCTGAATAGGAGGGGACTTGCTCCTGCAGGATTTGGAAACTATACTTCTATTAATGCAGCCTAAAATAACATTTGTCTTTTTTGTAGCTACATCACACTGTTGACTCATATTTAGCTTGTGATCTATGACAATGCCAAGTTCCTTCTCGCTCATAGTTCTGCTGAGCCAGGTAGCCCCCATCTTGTAACTGTGCAACTGGTTTCTTTTTCTGAGGTGCAGTACTTTGCACTTATCCCTGTTGAATTTCATTCTGTTGCTTTTGGCCCAGTGCTCTATCTTATCAAGGTCATTTTGAATTTTGTTTCTGTCTTCTAGGGTATTAGCTATTCCACCCAATTTGGTATCATCTGCAGATTTGACAAGCATTCCCTGCACTCCCTTGTCCAATTAATAAAAATATTGAAGAGCACCGGGCCAAGGACTGAGCCTTGGAGTACCCCACTTGTTACCTCCTTCCAGTTAGAGAAGGACCCATTAATCATCACCTCTGAGTACAATTCTGTAACCAATTGTGTATTCACCCAACACTTGATCTATCCAGCCCACCCCTAGTTAGCTTGCTAATCAGGACATCATTGGGCACTTCGTCAAAAGCTTTGATGAAGTCGAGATATACTACGTCTACAGCATTCCCTCTGTCTATCAGGGAGTTGACGTGATCAAAAAACAAGATCAAATTAGTTTGGCAGGATTTGTTCTTGACAAATCCGTGTTGGCTTCTAGTTATTACTGCATTGTTTTCTAAGTGTTTGCACAATGACCACTTTACGATCTGTTCCAAAACTTCGCCTGGGACTGATGTTAGCCTGACTGGCCTGTAGTTCCCAGGTTCCTCTTTTTTGCCCCTTTTGAAGATAGGGACAACATAAGGGTATGAGAATGTCTCATACCCTTAAAAATATAAGGTGACTGATCCTCCCTCTGACATAGACCCAGAAAGATGCAAGTAGGAATACTCTAGAGGTGGGTTGATTTGCTTTAGCAATACTGTCCTGTGATCACCAGCAAAAATAGCAAATCAGTCTGTCTCAGGAGGAGACCAAACAGTACTAACTGCCAATGTAGTCACTCTCTAAGTCAGAGTCCACCAAGTGTAAAGGTGAGCAAGAGGTGTCTGAGGAAGGCTGCATCATTAAACAATGTGGAGGTTGTTCAGAAGGATCCAAGGCTATGGCTTTGACTGAGAACCACTGGTGCCAAAGGGAAGCAGGAATTGAAGAAATACTAGTTAGTGGAGGAAGAGACAATGAATAAGGCGGCATTGATAAAGTTACAGACAGGTATGAGGCTAGAACTATGGACTGATCTGGTTGATGAATCTTGTCAGTACAGTGGTGCCTCAATTTACAAGCGTCCCAACTTACGGCCATTTCGAGTTACAACCCACCTCAAGCCTCCCAGCACTGGGTGACCACTGTCTCCGATTGCGCTTCTTTGTAGCTCTTTCGCCCTATCGGTTAAGAGTGTGTGCGTTTGCAGAGAGGCTTCGAACTGTCTAGTGCTGCTTTCTGCTTCTGAGTGAGGACATACAGGGTTTTGCAGGGTGGGTTTGGGCTTGGGGGGTTATGTTTCTGTGCTGTGATTTTTTTTGTGTTTGTCTTTTGGTGTGTTTGTTTTTTCAGCCCCACGCCTTCCGATGGGGCTTGCTGTGTTGGTTTTTTTTGTGTTTGATTTTTCCCCCGTCCCCAGCACTTTTCGATGGGCTTGCTGTGTTGGTTTGTGTGTGTGTGTGTGATTCCCCTCCCCCCCCGGGCTCCAGTGCATTCTGACGGAGCTTGCTGTGTTGTTGGATTTTTTGGGGTAATTTTTTCCCCGCCCCAATGCATTCCAACGGGGCTTGCATTGCTTTTATTTTGGTTTTGGTGATTTTTTTTCTAGCACCAATGCATTCCAATGGGGCTTGCAGGTGTGTGTGTGTGTGTGTGAGAGAGAGAGAGAGAGAGAGAGAGAGAGAGAGAGAGAGAGAGAGAGAGAGAGAGAGAGAGAGAGAGAGAGAGAGAGAGACAGACAGACAGACAGAGAGAGAGCTTTTTTCCCGGCTGGAAAGGATTGATGGAGTTTCAATGCATTCCTATGGGAAATGGTGCTTTGACTTACGACTATTTCGAGTTACGACCATCACTCCGGAATGGATTAAGTATGTAAGTTGAGGCACCACTGTACAATGGTGAGAAGAAGGTACTTAGACAGAGAGTGGAGAACAATAAACCACAGAAGCTGAAAAAGGAATTGGGACCAATGGAGGTCTTCAGTCTTGTCAAATCTCAATAAAGATGCAGGTCTTCCTGATATTAACAATTTCAGTGTCAAGGAGTATGGGAGTAGGAACAATATAGTGCAACCTGCTCCCATTATTCTCCCTGTAATGGTAAACTTCACGGTGGTATATGCAGAATGATAGAAGGGCAGCCTGCAGTCCCAATAGGGGAAAAGAAGTGACATTCATTACTGGATGTAACAATAATCCTTTGATGACCTCAAAGGAGAAATGTTCCAGTGGTAATGATGGCTTCCAAAGAAAGGATGATGACCAGCAGGTTAAAGGTTGCTCTGGGGTAGGCCTGGAGGCTGATCTTTAATTTAATTTCAGAGGGAGATTCAATACAGAAGATCTCACCTGAGCATTCTCCTACTATAATATCAATGTATTGCTACTAATAACTTTTAAAAGTGTGTTTCTACAACAGCAGAAAATGAAGAATGAACTCTATCCAAGAAGAGAATACTTAGCTGCTATAGAAAGAGCAGAAGGGAACACTCCTTCAGCTGCTGCTCAGGTAACAGAAAGAAATGAAGGAAAGCCACTGAAAAGCTAATGCACATGCACAATGGAGTATGGGGGTGGGGCTCCCACTGAAATTGCTCAGCTTTAAAATGTTTCAACAGCAGCTTTGCAGACACATGACCTAAACACGCAATTCACAAGGACTATACAGAAGAACATCTGTATACCCATCCTCAAATGAAGTAAAGATCTAGTGAAAGTAATCTGCATTTCCACAGTAAAACAAATTATGAGCACATTCTCTCAGGAAGGCCTATATATCTTGTAACTCCTTTAAAGTTTTTTTAAAAAACGTACTCCACTAGCCACCATGCAAAGGGGATAACCAAATGGAACTCTATTTTGTTGTCTGCTTGTGGGCTTGTCAAATACCACAGCTACTGAGCTATATTTTGCTTGGCAAGTTACATGTTGTACATACTTGCTGTTCATGTTACCTAAAAACAGTTCCACCGTGTTCCTTATTTATTTTCTGCTAATTCTTCATTCTTGGCAGTGCTAGAATTTTTCTGTGAACAACTACAAGTTGTGGGAAAATGTAACATATAACACTGTATTTCAGAGCTACCTGAATTGTTTTCTGTTGTAAGAGTTTATGCATGTAGCATCAAAAGACTGTTAACAAGCCTTACCTTGAAATTGCTCTGATGAAATCTAAAGACACATTGCATTTGTATCTCGGTCCATTAAGCTGGTCATCATGGCCTACCAAGGTTAAGAGCTGTAGAGTCACAAGGGAGGTAATCTTAAAAAAAAGAAAAAGAAAAAAAGGAGGGATGTTAATTGGCTTTTCCTGTTACTGCAGATTTGGCTTGATCACTGTCCTCAATACCTAGCATGGGTTAGATGCTGACTTGATGCTGTTCATCTACAGATAGCCCCGAAGACTTACTTACTAACTTATTTATTTATTTTAACTGTTATCCTGCCTTCCTCCCAGAACTGGGATCTGAGGCAACTTACAGTATAATAATAATTTTAAAAGTACTGTTAAAATCCCATTCCATTATAAATATCAAAATGAAATAACATTAATTGTAATCTTAAAACAAAATAAAGTTAAAAATCATTTCTAAAAGTTTTGGTTTAAAGTAGTAATAATTAAAATTTAAAAATACAGCACATCCTTTAATGCCTGCTAACTGTCCTTACCAGCCAGCCAGTCAGTTGCCAAAAAGGAAGGTGGTTACATGACACCAAAAGGACAGCAGGAAAGGGGCTAACCTAGTCTCTCAGGAATTCTATAGTTCGGTGGTAAACTAAAGGATACAAATGTAAAAACAATAAACAAATGCGGAGCAACTAGCAGTGTACATGGATATAAAAAACCTAAAGAAATAAAAAGGTGCAGTGAACACAAAAGAACAAAATATAAGAACATTCTAAGTTGTCAGTTTCTTCAGCATGCAATCAGAAGCCTTCATTTTTCTCCTTTGTAATTTAAATACTTTCTATTTATACACACATCTTTTGCACAATCACTAAAAAGACTGCACTTTTATTCACAAAGTCTTACCAAAACGGACCACACTTATTCTCCCTTTCTCTCTTCTTTCCATGACAGTTTATTCTTTTCCACACAAACTACTTCTCTGATAAACTATTTCACACAAATATCCCTATGCACAAAACAGAACCTCTCCAGCCAGGAACCACATAGAGTATTCAGTTTGCAGTTCCATTCATAACATTCTTTTACATTTCTCAACTGTCATAACAATCACTACTGAAACACATTCCACATACAGCTGTCCATCATCTCACTTAATGTACCATGAAAGCACATAAAAACATGTACACAAAACATGTATACAGTGCAAAGCTGCAACAAAGTGCAACCCACTCACAGGTGTTTGGTCCCCCAGATGGTGGATGATACCAGGATTTACTTCAGCTTTCTAGTACCAAGGCAAATTTCAATTGGAACGAAATGTTCTATTTCAGAGGTTGTCAACGACTGGTCCGCGGCCCATTGTTGGTCCCTGGCTTGAGCCCGACAGACCTCCCCTGCCCCCCCGCACACACTCCCCTCCCCACAGCTGCTTTGCACGCTGTTTTGCATGCGCGCCGACTCACCCCTTCCCACAAGCCCTTGCGGGCGCAAAGCAGCTGTGGGGAGGGGAGGTTGTGCATGGGGGCGGGGAGAGGTCTGTCTTGGCGGCCCGGCAGCAGTGACCGGGGTTGGCAAGAGCCGGGAGGGAGAGCAAGGGCCAAGTGCTCCGGATGCTCTCCTCCTGGCAGCAGCGGCGGCGACAGGGGTGAGTGGGGGGGGGTTGGTAAGAGCCGGGAGGGAGAGCAAGGACCGGGTGCTCTGGGTGCTCTCCTCCTGGCAGCAGCGGTGGTGACGGGGTGGCAAGAGCCAGGTAAAATAAAATAAAAATTAAAAAGGACTCACAGGCTTCCGTCACCGCCAGCACGCACTCCCTCGCCACTTCAAGCATGCGCCAGCACGCAGGAGTGGGGTGGGCGCGCGGGTGTGCAGGCACTCCAGAGCATGCATGAAGCGGTGAGAGAACGCATGCGTGCCTATGGCGCGCGCACTCCCCAACCACTGCACTCGTGCATTGGAGAGGGCAAGAGCGAAGGGCCGCCCCACCTCCCTCAGAGACTCCTCCGATCTGCACTAGTAAAAAGGTTGGGGAACACTGTTCTATTTGGCAGAAAGATGCAAAGCTAATCTGAGATCAAGCCTACTTTGTTTGATGATACTTAGGGCCATACGGTGCAAGTGATCAGCTCTCCTGGATTACTTTTTAAGAGCATGCACATGTATGTGTATGGGAAGAGAGGCACCTGATTCAGACTGAGATTGAAGCACTGGCAGAGTATGCATAGGATTTAACATGTTCTCCCCACACCTATTTTTTTTTAGTGTGAACATCCACCCAAATCTATTTGCTACACAAGACAAAATATGTTCCTCGGTACCATCACCCAGAGTGTGATTCAGAAACTACAAAGAAGGAACAGGGATCCTATTGTAACTCATTTGAAAATTATTGATATAATTTATTACTTTAAGTCTTATACGGGTAACAATATAGAAAAACAAGCTAAGAAATAACATTACTCTTTACCATAACACATTATGGAGCGACTCTTGGAATTTCAACAATTATTTTTTAATTGTTTTAAAATAATGTGTTGCTACTGCATCTCTAACAGATAACGTAACTTTAAAACAAGTAACCACAGAATATTACTCCTGCCCAATTTATCACTAATGCATACACTTTAAAAGGAACATTCTCAAACTCTGAAAAAGAGATCCTGAGGAGGAGATTTTTCAGATTAAAAGGTAATGAACTTCTTCACCAATCTGGTGTAAAAAAACAACAACATTATTTGCTGCCAGAGGCAACATTTTCAAATCCAGGGCACTCTCATTATGAACCTCAGATTTTGTCTGACATGAAACAGCTAGTATAAGTCATCTACCTATTAACTGTCATTTCTTGCAAATCATTACCATTTTCTCTCCATGCATATAGAGTACCTGGTAGCAAGACAGATTTAACCACAGCACAATTATGCTATATATAGTCTCTACATAGACTGCATTGTGTTGGACAAAATCAGCCTAGATGGTGGTTTCTAAGTGAAAAAGTAATCACAAATAGAGATGGGTATGAACTGCCAGTCCATTAGTTTGTGCCCATTCATTTATCGACCCAGTGCTTCAAAACCCTGCCTTTTCCAGTGGGCTCCCACTCAGAGGCGGTGCCCAGAGGAGGTAGGGAAAGAAAAAACAAGCCACTGCCTCTGACAGGGAATCTGCTAGAGGAGGCCGGGCTTTGAAGTGCCAAATACCTGTTTGGTCAATGAATCACCAAACTGGCAGTTTGTTCCCAAATATTCAATTGCACTGAAGCGGAAGAAGAGTGATGTTGACCTTGTACAATTATCATTATGACATTAAACTGCAATTTACTCCTTCTTACAAATGTTTAATTCAATCTAACAAAAATGAGCTCCACTTAGGTGCTAATGAAATGAACAAAGTAAGACAGTCATGGCTAATGTCAGTTCCATCCACACCATCTTGTAATTAAGCACTGCCCTAGTAGCCATATGTAGCCAAGTATTCCATGCAGATGAATGAGCTCGCAGGTAGAAGAATGATAGAGACCAAACCTTTCCTCCACACCAAGCATATAAATGCAGCTCACTTCCTTTATTGGCCAGTGTCCATCAGTGCAAAGTGTAATAGGCTTATTTACAAACCTGCATGAGTATCGGTGGCATTTAAAGATGACTTTTTGCAGCAGGGGTGTAAAGAGGGGTTGTGAACAACAACGACACCACAGAAATTATACAAGACTATCTCGATACATTAAAATATATTCTACTGATAATTCTACTGTTATTAAGCTGCTGAAAATCCTATAGGGTTTGACAGCAAAAATTGCATAAGGTGTGTGAAAAACTCTTTCAGCTGTCGGTTGTAGACTGACACACTTATTGGTGCAGTTCATAGTGCACTTGGGTATGCAACAATCAGTCGCAAAACTGTAAAAACCACTTGCATCATTTCCCTTATGTGCACAGTATTTTTCAACAGGATTCTAGCTACTGTTCATGATATAATTACTAAAAGAAGAATATATTCTACTGAGATAGTATGTGCTATACATTACATTTTAAAATGGTTTTCCTAATTTATATCCATGAATCAGAGTTATTCAGGACTACAAACAGTACCTGCAGAACATTAATCCTTCGTATGTTAGCATTTTGTAAAAAAAGAAACGGACACAAACTGTCACTCAAAAATGACTTACATTACAGATATTTGCTCCTACACCTCCCAAATTTTGTGAGGAAATTAAAAAAAGAGATATTATGAACCTCTCTGCATCAAGAAAGAAAATCACTCTTCATTCAATCAGGCCCTTAGTCAGTCAGCGATGAAGCCTAATGGAGTAATCTGTTATTACAACTGCTCTTTTACACCCCAGTGCACCATTATTGGCTAATCATTTTTGCAGCGTACGCTTGCAGCTGGCCTCTTACACTCCAAGACTACCAATGAAAATAGGTCATATTCTGCAGCAGAAATAGCATGAGGCTCATAAAAGCTCCCAGCAAATGCACCAGCTTAGATGACTTGGAGTTGGACCCATCTAAATATTATGGAGGATTCAGAATTCAAAAGTGACCTTGCCATTGCATTAGAAATGTGCCAACCGCTGTGTTAACAAAAAAATTGTGACCAATTTCCTCTTCTTTCCCCAAAATGCAGTAAAATGGAACAGAAGGTCAGTAATGTAAAATTGCTCCCTGAATCTTCTGGCTATAAATCTAAAATGGCGTCAGGCTGGATATGAAATTTCTGATTAATGTTTTAAGCATAACATGCTAGAGTAGCTACAATGGCTTTGGCTGTCATTTAAAGACAAGACAAGGTTGCTTATCTGGATAAACTGCAAACCTAGGCACCAGTTTGATTTTCATAATTCCCCAATAAAAAAAGCTCAAGGCAGTTCATAGCTCAAGAATGACTTATATCCTCTTCAAAATTTCATTCCCACATAGGGACATATACATACCATTTTGGTGGAGCAAATCAACTTCTCAATCTAAGCAAAAGGCTTCTTAATGATATATCGTACACTGGGTCAGAAAAATCCCTGCACAAATAAACACAGGATCACCGTCCTCATATCTGGCCTCCCCACCAGGATTGGGTTCAAAAAGCACAGGACAAGGGAGAATGTGAGTCCAAGGTTTAATGCCAAATGCATC